CCTGTTTTTGGCATCATGAATCGCAGTAGTCCGATGTAATTATATCTCATCGTGGGTTGGTGTCGTCTATGTATTATTATCATCACGCCTGTGTCATGCCGGAGCCACTTTGAAGAGGAAATCATAGACAAAGAAAAAAGTACCCCTAGAGCAAACCCTCAACCAAACCAGCCTTGACGTCTAAACCCCCTTTCCTCTCCCGACCCTGAAAAAGGAAATGCTCGAGGTGCTGATGAGTTAGTAGAAGGACCACCTACAACTGTTTTCGTTCTTTTTACCGAACGTCTAAAGTTCCTCATCACCTTTCCCCTGAGGCTCATTTGGCAAAGCCAGGAGTTGTCATTAGTCTGTTTTCGCTTGCCCCTTTCTTAAGATTGATTACAGCGTCACAATTAAGATTATTGGCAACCAAATATTGAAGAGAAAATAAGTCATCTCGTCCAGCCGAGCCCAAGTCGCCAGTGTCCTCTTGTACATATCCTGAAAGCCAAAGGATAATCCATCACAAACGCCCGAATGCAACATAGATCCCCAGTGAGTAGTGTGTACCAGGGCTCTGAATAATTGGAAAGAAATCGACTCTCTCAACAGGTTGCCCTTATTAATAGTACCCGTTCGTTCTGCTAGTGGTGGGTGGCAGGTCGACCAAGTACTCCTCGAAATAAGGGTGGTTGCAAGCCTGCTTGGCCGACATACGACCGGCAGGGTCATATACCAACATGGCTTCAAGCATATGAAGACCTGCATCATCAAGGCTGCGGCAGAGGGGTTTGTCGAAGTCACGTTCCCACTTGGGGAAGGACGACTTGAAGTCTGGGTATGAGGTAACACCGGGCCAGACATCATCCGTAGGAGTTCCAAGAATGCTGTGACCAGTTAGTATACGTAGAAACAAGAACCCGACTCAACGGCAGTGCCACATGTGACGTCCGCCGTTGCCACCGCTCCCACTTACCGGAAAATCTTGAAAATCTCGTCAATCTCAGAATCACCCGGGAAAAGAGGTTTTCGAGTGCACATCTCGGCAAAGATGCAGCCGATGGACCACATGTCTACTCCGGTCGAATACTGTCTTCCTCCCAAAAGAATTTCTGGCGCCCGATACCACAGAGTCACAACCTCATGAGTGTACGTGCGCAATGGCACACCAAAGGCGCGCGCCAATCCAAAATCGGCCAGCTTCAAATTTCCCTCCTTGTCAATCAGCAGATTCTGAGGCTTCAAGTCGCGGTGGAGCACTCGGTGGGAATGGCAGTATTTGATTCCCTGGCACAGCTGCCACATGAACTTCCGAACAACTCCCTCTCCCAGGCCCAAGCTCGCTATAGTGGCTGAAGAGCCCTCTGGCAGTGGCTTCCCGCGACCTCCGTCGCTGACGGGCAGCGCCTCCATGTACTTCTTCAAATCGAGGTCGAGAAATTCGAAGACAAGGTACAGCTTATGACTGTCGGCGTGTACGATATTGAATAGGCGAACAATGTTGACGTCTTTCATCTCTTTGAGGAGAGAGATCTCACGGATCGCGGTACTCGGGACACCCTCGTCTTCTGCTTCAAGTCGAATCTTCTTCAACGCAACTATCCGGCCGTTGTGCGCAAGGTCCCGGGCTTTGTAGACAACGCCGTAGGTACCTATTTTCAGCAGAAAAAGAGCACCACACGTTAGTAAGTGGAAGAAGGACGATCCAAGAGCACATGTCGTAGGTTCGACACACTAACCTTCACCGACCTTCTCCAACTTCTGGTAGTTCTCCATGGTGATACCAGTTCCTTCCAGAAAATACCCAATGTAGGGATAAGTATAATAAGCGCTCAGTAGAATTTTCTATCGCGATCGTCGAGTTCGTTCCGTCACCGGGATCAATGGGGCTGAGGTTCCAGGATTGTCAACACAAAAAGCATTCTCTACCACGGTCTGTGGAGGGGTCACCGACTTAGTGGGGGTGGTCAGAGGGGTCCCTGGATCCTTGCGAGCGAGATGCAGGAGCAGCAAAGCGAAATATGAAGATCCGCTGGTTTCCGATCTAAAGGGTGACGAGCTGGCGAGCGAGATTCGCTTCTATCCCTTCTCCTAAAGACGCTTTGTCGCTGTTGTCAAGTCGTTGTCCGGCTCTCAATGTTTACAACTGAACTCCGCTATTGAAAACAAGCGCGACAACCACAGGCCAATGAAGCGCGTGTTCAGCGCGTGCACACCCCCAAACCTCTTATCGATAAACAGCCTTGCCGGTCACGGCGTGAGAAACCCTTCGGATGAAACACAGATGTACTGGGAAATCCTACCGAGACATGTAAATGAGTCAATCTTTTGTAGGTCGTTCCTGCAGGCAGTGTGAATCAACTACCTCCGCCGTAAATCTAGGATCTTATCCAATTGCAGTGGCCCTTTGGCACCCCAACCCGATGGCCCGGAATCCACCTCGGGCCTCACAGAAACGTACCACGACCAGGCTCTCTTATCTAAATCATCCGCACTGAGCACCTTTGCCCAGCTTGCGAATAATAGACGCAAGGCACCTAAGAGACGACCCAGGTTTTCCTCCTTTTCTGCTTTCATCATCGCCGTCGTCTTCTTGCCCGCACTTGCACCCCCATCATCGGGTTCTGGTGTATGGAAGGACTGTAGAAGATAGTTGCGTGCTCCCTCGGGTCGGTGGATGGCCATTCCTATAGTCGATGTTACCGGACTTGTGTCGGTCACATCGAGCGCCCAAACTGGCTCTCTAGAAAATGTGGTTATTCGCCTCTGTGCCGAGAGCGCCTCATTTGTGGCCTCGCGCATCAACCTCCAGCGATCTGGACCGAGCATCACTCCCCCATACCAACGAGTCAGCACGATCATGGTGTTGGTTATGTTTGCCTCTCTCATGATCTGAAGCAAAAAGTTTCCACATCCGCTTTCCCCATCATCAAAGGACGCGTCCTGTACAAGAGGCGAATTTCCAAAGCTGGTCCGAACCGCCCAGGCGTTATGCGTAGCTGTCTCTAGCTCTGGTTTTTGGGCCATCAGCGCCTTGAACAGCTCCGGCCGAGCGCCTGGGGTCGACAATGGTGTAGCATGCGCAATGAATGTGGACCCCCTTGATAATAGTTTCTGGCTGGCCTTCCAAGTAGACTCGGCTGGTGCTGGTTTTGATGCACTGGGCTGTGATGCAGTAGAAGATGTTCCAGCGTCTGATGTCGCTCCCTTCCATGAGTATCCAGACCTCTTAAGCACAGGCAGCATCCTTCCCAGGACGCGTACTTTAGGCTGGCCTTCGGACACAGATACCTGTTGCGCCGCGGTGGGTGGCTTCTCGATGCCGATGGAGACCGCCTTGGACCTGGAGTTTGCGCTGACCACAGCCTGTGCTAAACTGAGACGACTGCTGGGAGGCTGTTCTACCATTGTGAATTCCAGCAGTGCCACTGCAAAGGCAAGCACCAGGGGCGCTCTGTTGGTGATGACTGTGGTGCCCCGTATCACCGCCTCGTCCTCTTCCAGGGGCAAGCTCATGGAGCCCTCCAACTCATCCGACGACATGGCGCTGTAGTCCAGGTCGCGTTTATGCGCCACCAGCTTGGGCTTTTTAGCTGGCGCCGACGCGCTCTCGTCCGCTTCCCTTTTCCCTTTCTTGCCGTGGGCTTTGCACGCCGCGTGAACGCTCTTGGCGAGCTTTCCATCCCCCAGTGCGCTTTCAAGATCCGCCACGGATGCTTCCGCAATCTGCTCGATGCTTTCACGTTGGCTATTAGCGGGGGTTTTCTCCGGTTTGTATGTCGCTAGTCCGTGGCGTCCCTACCTTCTGAGGTTCTTGGACTGGAGAGCTTGAACATGTCGCATGGCCCCGAGCATCGGGACCTTGCGTGCAGTGAATATCCGCAAAAGCTCCTGTAAATCAGCCTGCGCAGCCATGGCGAAGCAAGACGCGCCAAATATTACAGTGTAAAGGCGTCGGAAGGGTGTCAAATAGACGATCTCGGAAAGCGAACTCGACGAGATATTTGACGTGGGCGATGTATGAGTTTCTCTGTTGGGCTGCAGGGTAGTTGGATGGAATTGGTCTTGAGGATATGAGAAAACCGTGTGGGCTGCGATGATGTGTAATATGAAGTGTCTGCTAACCTATACCCGGGCACTCAACCACTAGGGATCTCTAAGAATCATGGTTATATAATGGCTGTGATTGATATCTCGATTGAGTGTCGGTTTATTTGTATTTTAATATCCTTTACGTGATATTATCATATGCTTGATGGTATTGCTATTGTTGTATAAGGTCTGCGTATTGAATCATAGCGAGTCCTTTTCAATGTTATGTTCACACTTATTAGCCGGGGAAATAAAATTAACCAACCAACAGCACGCGGCAATCGAAGAACCGTGAAAATCACCAAGAGAACAATTATTGAAAATGGCTCCTCTAAAGGAATGGTTTAGAAATCCACAGGACAGAGAAACCGGTTGCCGAACCTCGCATGTCGATAGCTGCGACAGCCTGGATTAGGAAGCAAGCTACATCCACACCAAGGTTCATTGGAATCGGCATACCGGGCATTTAAAAAAAGGGATCAACATATTGCATCGATGCGCATAATCGAAACCCTAGAAAATTAAAAAAGGGAGTACGAAAGGATATGCCGTGTATGTATGTGTACGTCACCTGTTCGGGTGATCTTCCCCTCGACAATCTGATCGAATCATGGGAGATGTAACCCATCCAAGCCTATCGCACGGGACTCGCTTGTGGCCTGGAAATCGTGCACGCATGCTAAAACCTTGCCCCTACAGGCGTCTGGGCGCCACATGATTGGCCAGAGATCCAAGGGATCAAATCGGATCTAAGATCCGCCCGTGCGCCTGTCACAAGCCGGTGGGCAGGGGCACCAAAAAAAAAAAGGTGCTCATAGCGAGCTGTGGAAATGTGGAAATGTGCTCACTAGATTTTGCTTGTCCTGTTCGTTGCTAGGTAATCCCGAAAACCCCCAAAAGGCCTTGATGGCTATGCCTCCGCCGCACCAATGAACACTTCACACAAAGGCCTTGCCAGCTTCTCCCATCGACTGCAATGTCGCTCTCTCTCCTCAACGGCTCGGCTTGCCCGCAAGTCAGCTCGGCCGCAGACCGTCAAGCAGCAGCAGCCGGTTTCGAACATCTCCAGAGAGTATAAGCCGTAGGTTGCTTGCGTCCCACACCTCCCGAACCGACGACTGACATATACACACATCAGTCGCCCTCGACCAGCCAAGACAACACCTCCCCGCCCTCCACAACAACCGCCGACCCTCCGCGACCAATGGAGCTCCTCCTGGCTCCCCCTCTCCGGCGCGGCCATCGTCGCCGGCCTCATGGGCTTCTACGTCCTCGGCACCCTCACGGCCTCCCTCAAGCCGACTCCCTGCTGCAACCATGATCACTCCAACGAGACGCCCACCGGCCGGCCCCTCGCCATGACGGCCGACAACGCCGAGCAGTTCGACAAGGAGCTCAACTTCCCCGAGTGGTGGATGGGCATCACCTCGCTCCGCCGCCGCCTCGCCGACCGCGCCAACGGCACCGTCCTCGAGCTCGCCATGGGCTCCGGCCGCAACCTCGAGTACTACAACTGGGAGCCCCTCACGAGCGCCGCCGCCTCCGCCGGCCGCTCCGCCGACGACGACCCCCGCGGCATCACCTCCTTCACCGGCCTGGACATCTCGGCCGACATGCTCGACGTCGCGAGGCGCAAGCTCACCAGGGCCGTGCCCCCCATGGCGTCCTCGGCGCCCGTCGTCAAGGCGCGCACCATGGCCGGGAACACGGGCGGGCAGCTCTCGTACATGGACGGGCTCCTCCGGCTGGTGCACTCGGACGCCCACAACCCTCTGCCCCCGCCGCGCGAGACCCCCAAGTACGACACCATCGTCCAGACGTTTGGTCTGTGCTCCGTCTCCGACCCCGTCGCTGTTGTCTCCAACCTCGCCACGGCCGTCAAGCCTGAAACGGGACGGATCATTCTCCTGGAGCACGGGAAGGGCTGGTATGGGATCGTGAATGGGCTTCTGGACCGAAACGCCGGGCAGCACTTCGAGAAGTACGGGTGCTGGTGGAACAGAGATATTCAAGCCCTGGTCGAAGAAGCAGCTCGGAGGACGCCAGGGCTCGAGGTCGTCAAGGTTGAGCGACCGTTCCTGCTCCAGATGGGAACACTCCTCTGGATTGAGTTGAAGATGAACCCTACCCCTCAATAGGAAACATCTCACTGGGCACAGCATGGTTGGTCAGCAGGGCCAGAAGCTGGCTGCGTGTAACATAAATGTAAATGTAATTTGATAGATAAGCGAATACCGAAACGAAGACGACACTGAATATGAAAATGAAAAGGAGCTGAGTGGCATAGTATATCTCATTCTTTTGCGTGATCCATCATCAACCTTTTGGATATCTCCATTGTCCCCTCCCACCCGTCTTATATGCTGAGCCCAAAGTCATAAAGTAAATGTACATTATTTTCTACAATTTGACGCCTTGCCATGTATTTTTCCAATACCAGATCATCCCTTTCCAGGAGCGACATCTTTGACTCAAAGTTCGCCAGTGCGGCGAGCGCTCCTATAACTCCGTGTGCGCCGACCCAAAGGGTGAAGGACGCCAAAAACCCAAGTCGTAAAAAACTCCAAAGTCCCAAAAATTAGCAACCTTCCCAGAGGCCGTCAAGTTCATCAATTTCAATGCTTTCAGCGCAATGATCCCATTCAAACATTTTGTTGAGTTTGAGCCAGTTATCCGCCTCATCATCTTTGCGGTTGTGGACTGGCTTCATGGCAGGGCTGGTCAGAAAAGCCGTTTGGAGATTGTCTCCAAACCAGAGGTCGTCGCGATGACCGTAGTCCATGTTTAAACTACGCTCAGAGAAGTCAAGTAGTGTGGGCGCACCGCCAAACTTGCGCTTCTGTAATGTGTTCGCAGTCTGTGTGAATTCGCGCTCATCCTTCTCCAGTGGGGGAAGGTCATGGGGAAGCTCGCCTAGGTGGCGAGTATAGTACTTGGGGATGGATGAGCTGGGAGTAGCAGGCAATTTGTCGTCATGCGCCTCGTCAAAGTCAGGAGGGGGAAGATCGATTTCTGGGGAAGGGCTCAATTGTCTCCTTCGAGCATCGACGTCGTCAGAGCCAGTATCGTCAGTCAGCGATACCGAGGGAGTAACAACGGCGGGCATATCGATTCCAGGTAGTGAGCCAGACTCTGGGAGTGCTTGTCTGGGGAAGGTGGTGAGGAAATAGTATGTGCGACGAGGATGCACAGTTTCAAGCTCCTTGGCCAGTGGGCATGGAGTCAGGGCGCTCCAGCAGGATCTCTTCATGTAAGAGGCCAAGCGTGAGGAAATGATGGCGCAAGGGTTCGCGGAGCTTTGTGGATATGTTAGCACCTGAGACATGCGGTGTAAGAGGGGAGAGGGATAATATGGCTTACTTTTGTACTGAGGATAATCTTTGGGCCAGGACTGTGGCGAGGTCCTTGACAAGGTGAGGGCGGTTTGCAGTCTGTTGGAGTTGGGAAATCGTGGCCTCGACGATGTCGTCGTTGATGCTCTCGAGATCAATCTTGGGCGGTGCTGCGTCTTCGTTGGCCGATTCAACACTAGTGGCAAGTGTTGGGGAGGGGGGAGGGGTCGTCTCGATGATGGCAGACTCAGACGAGGCGTGCGACCGCTTGAGGCGCTTGTTTGCATGGGTATCGGGCGATTGCGACCGCGAAGACGATGATGTGCGCGAGGTCGAGGCTGAGGCTGAGGATGGGCGACCAGCGCTCTTGGAAGCAGCCGCAGCTCGAGCGGCATTGGAGACGGGGATGTGAATGCCCAAACTGGGCAGGGAGAGCGACTTGCGACGAGTATTGTAAGGCATGGCGACGACGACGTATCTAACTATCTAGTAGGTATGTGTATAGGCTGGATAGTATCGACGGAAGAAATCGACAGTATTGTTTTTTAAACCAGGCTCGCGACAAGTTGGATGAGGCAAAAGGCGGGCGGATTGACGGATGACCGAGGGGTGGTGATGGTGTACCTGTCCGTAGTCGCCGGGGAGATGTTGCGCAGGTGCCAGGGTGTACGGGCGTGGGCAACGGGGATGGGCGAGGGCGAAGGACAAGCAAGGTATGGAGATGAAGGAAAGTGGAAGATGAAGCAGATGACGATGATGATTGACAAGCAACGTCGAACAGCAAACAACGGCCTGGGGGGAATGAGGCGGTTGGAGGGAGGCGGTAGGGGGATTTGTTTGGGCTGTTTGGGGAGGGCGACTAAGGGTAGCCGGGGATATCAGGCAAGACCTCAGGCGAGCGATTCAAGCACGAGAGCTTCGAACTTTTTTTTTTCCCCTTCACCATTCCAAGGGTTCCCATTGGCTGACGGTATTGCATGGCTTCCGATGTGGGCCACTTAGACATCGGTGGGGCAGGCCGGCCACCCTCCTTCCCTCCCGATGCGGCGTCACGACCTGGGCAGGGAGGCGCATTCCAGGCCAGGACCCTGTAGCTTCCCTGCTGGTGTCACGTCTAGTCGGTCCAGCCTAGAGGAGCCCGGCGGAGGAGCCACGCTATTTACATCCAGCTGCGGAGGGTTACGGGCATCAAGACGCTGCAAATAAGATGCGACTCCACCGCTCAACTGGCAGTCCAAGACTGATGGGTAAGAGGTATTAATTTGTCGTCGCGAAATAACATGCAAGGTCGCCAAGAGAAACAGCAAACGGGGGTGGGGGTGGGAGCGATATGGCAGCCAGCGTCGGCCGTACGTCTGCTATGTGCGTCTCGACGTCGAGAGCTCGAGTGTCGTCTCACCACGCGGTGACGCCCGCCTGGAGCCATGCCGCTACCGTACCGTAGCGTAGATGCCGGCTCGAGGGCAGGACACCTTGCTTCCCTCCAATTGAACAAGCAATGGCTACTGAATGACATGACAGAGCGGAAGAAGAAACGATCGAAGCGACCAACAAGCAGAACATACATACAATGGGGAGCCAGTAATAACTGATACATAAAAATTACTTCGTACTAGACTCCACATCAGTAGATGGGTCTATTCCCAGACGAGTTAAGCGAAGGCAGTGGCTTTCCCTCGGCCTGCCTATTTGCCGTGTCGTCCTCGTTTTTTTTTTTTACTTTTTTTTTTCCCTCTACCCTTTGGCGCTGTCTGAGTAGCGGGTGGAGTGGTCAAACGGGTGGTGTGTGACTGCGTTAGTCATCCCGCTATGCACCCCCTGCTCGTACGTCGTAGTTGGAGCACTAGCCCCTTGTTCCCTGCATTGGTGTGCAAGGGTCCAAGCGACCCCAAAAGTCGCTCCCCTCCAAAAAAAAAAACAAAGGGCGGGCAGAAAAGTCCACCGCCTTTTGATGAGAGGCTGGAGCCCAAGGTGGATGCTTCTCATTCGCCGTGGCAACATGCTCCCGAATGACGGACGGTCGAGGCTACTTTGGCCAGATCCGCCTGTCTGTAACTGCCGCCGAGACATTCTGATGTTCTAGGTTTCTACCACCTTGATGCCATCAGCCGTTCGTGACAGCCTGCCTGCTGCTGCCTTGTCTGATGGTGACTCCCGCTCGCCTTATGGACGAATGAGACGGCGATTCTGGCGCTGCTGCCTGTGCTTGTGACCTCAGAAGGCGAAAGCCTGATGATGATGGGCTCAAGTTGGATTGCCGTGTGGGTGTGCAGCGAATGAATGATGAGGTGACTCTTTGCCCGCGGGAGCCTGCCTGCCTGCAAAGGCCTTGCTTGCTTGTCCTTCTCGACCACCAAACCCAACATTCCTGACTTACACACACACACACAGGCGCAGGCAGTCAATCTCTCCACACCACCATGCAGCTCGTAGGTCGCCCTTGCTGCAGCTGCATCATGCAGTTTGACTTCCAGGCAACTCGCAAGGCCCCGGCCATTGAAGTTAGGAATCGTACGAATGAATGCCCATCTCCACAAAGCACTACGTACAGGCGAACGGGTCTGTCCCACACCGTCTTCATTCAGTAATAAGGGGGGTGAGGAGTCCCGCACTGCCTATCACATACATGAAATCAACTTTACCCGCATAATAATTACATGCTCCTACAGACCAAAGGACTGCCAGAGCGACAGACAGGCCCCCCCCCCCCAGAGGGCAGAAAAAGTGTCTGATCGGAGGTCAGCTTGCCCAATGGACGACGCTTATGCCTCTTCCGTGTCGCTTGGGCCGCTGACCGCCAACAGCAGATGCTCTCATATCGCCTGCATCTGCACCTGCGGCTGCATCTGCTTCCTCCTGCTTCCTGCCTCTGGGCACCCTTCATCCTCCTTCGGTCCATGGCGTCCCATCCTACACCGTCAAAACTCTACTCGTTCGCCCGCGTGGGGATTGGCCACGGACGAGATGGGTTGATCTGATCTCGCAAACCCACGCGACCACCACTGTGAGAGCTTAACGCTAATCAGCCTCTGCATGCCCAATGCGGCAAGTTCAATGGCTAGCTGTTACTCTAGTTTCCCTCCTGCTGTCCCACCGCCGTGCTGGATGTTACATGTGCACAGCGACACATGGAGTGTCATCAAGAAGGTATGACATCAAAAGGCGACGGCGCATCGTCGATTCTCTCCCATCCACCACCAACTGCGACCAGCCGCCCGGACCAGAACCCCAGGATCCCCGTGCGCTACCGTCTATGCGCCGCATGCTAGAGAGCGAGCCGCCCAACAGGGGGCCGTTGAGCACGGAGGCATGCAGGTCGCCGAGGGTGAAACCACACAGGTCGAGGAGTAGCATTATCTCACCACAATCTGGTCCCCTGAAATCTGATGGGTGTTGATTGGAAGAGCTACAAGGTCTCACTTATGTGATTGCAGCCCAGGCCTTCCCCACTTTCTCTAGAAGCCCACTACGGACATCGTCAGTAATAAAGCAAGCCGCCTAAATGCCCGATCGGCAGTGGTGAGCGCATGCTGTCTCACTCGTACATATGTATCTAGATAGATCTGAATTGGATTGCAGCAACACATGCGCATATGCCAAACGGGAAACAAGAAAAAATAGTCCAGCGACTTCCCCGCACATCTTGAGGGAAAACGAATTGCAACGATGGCATCGCTCAATCCTCTCCTCGCCGGCGGTGCAGATAGCCTCTTCAGCAGTGTCAAAGCCGAACCAACAGCTGAAACGAAACAAACTTTGGCTTAGCTAATAAGGGCATGTCACTTCGGCGCGCGATCATTCCTGGC